TATAATATATATGGGAATATTTCTAAGATAAATTCTTAGAGAGATAATTGTATTATTCTAAAAACTTTGGCATGTTAAAAAAGTTTCGTATATAATAATAAAATTGAATCCGAAAAGAAATAAATCAAAATATAATATTATCTAGATGATATATTATAATGCACGTTTAAAAATTTACGATAAGTTAGATTTGAAACAAAATAAAAACACGTTTATTATAAATGTTCGAACATTAAACGATATTATAATTAAAGGACACAAATATATATATATCTTTTATTTTACGGTTATATTATATTTTTAAACATTTAATAGCTAACTTCGTTTATTACGATTTGCTTAGCAAGTTTCCAAGGAGAAAGTAGTAGTAGTAGTAGAAATATCGTTGCGTCAGGTTTTAACTGTGGCATCGTAGACGGATAATTTTCATAGTAAGCAGCAACAGCAAGTAGCAGCAACAGCAGGATCATGGTACGACGGGTGGATTCTTTCATTGGTGGGAGAAAGAGAGAGAGAGAACCATGCGAAAAACCGTCACCTTGGTATGGAATTTTAGTGGTCGATGTGGTAGGAAGGTTATACCTTGCTTTCCTTGCAATTGGAGTCGAGTACTATGCTATATTTAATAAATATACATTCTCTAACGGGTATTATACGATTTTGTATCATAATTTAACTATTATTTCCTTCGATAGATTTTAAATCGTCATTGTAAGACATTCGTTTGTAAATCTTCTTCCAAAATTTTCTTAACTTTTTATTCTAACAAAATAATAATTCACGAATAAAATATCCATCAAAAATAGTTTTCTATGATTATATTAACAAACGTTAAAAATTAAAATCAACTAATTACTTTTTAAATTATTTCTAAATTCATTATATTATCAATTAAATAATTTCTTGTTATTTATTTATAGATAATTATAATCATTTAATACGATTGAATAAAATCCGCACAATTACGTCAACTTTTACCAAGAAGAGAGACTGAAATATATATATTTCTTTGAAAAATATGAACAACTTGTGCAATATAAAGATGTCGACAATCTTCCTAAATACTCACGGGTCTTTCTCAAACGTAGTAATCGTACTAAACAAACAAACAAACAAATAAAAAAACAAATAATCTAAATCTGGAAACAACGGTGGGTATAATATAACTTTGCCATTTTTATTACACGCGGATTACATTTTTCATTCCTTTTAAAACGAATTTGTTTTAATGGGAGATAATTAATGGTGGGCAGGGGTGTGTGGGGGGTGCTTCGGATAAATAGAAGAAGTATGTAGGATACTCGACAAATAATCGGTGGCACAAATTTGTTAACAAATTAAACTCACTTGGTACTCGTTCGTACTGATATTCTTTCCCCCTCTCTCTCTTTTTTCTTCTATTTTTCTTTTTTTACACGTGACACGTATCACACGAGATTCCCAGACGCCGTACTGTTAGGCATGACTAGCTTTAATGCTCGCAATTGAGTGGAAGGCTAACAGTAATTACGCCGAGGGAACGAACGAGAAGAGAAACGATGGCGTACAATAGCGGGACCTTATATGAATTTTCTCTGCTTTGTTCTTTCCGTCTCTATCTATCTTTCTCTATCTATTTTTCTCTCTCTCTCTTTCTGTTTCATTTCTTCTTTCCTTTAACTCACTTCGTTCTTGTCTTTGTTTCTACTCGGTTACGTTGGGAGTTCTCTTTTTATTTACATTTTCTCTCTCTCTCTTTCTCTCTCTCTCTCTCTCTCTCTCTCTCGTAGATAGTTTTTTTTCTCTCGTACGTATGTCCGGAGTCAAGTTCACCGCATGAGTCCCCCCCCAGCCTCCCCCTAGCCCGAGTAATTTGTCTGTCCGTTTCCTCGTTTATCCGTCGTGTTTCATTGCATCGTGGGAAACAATTTGAAAAAAACGGTCCACGCGAAAAAGCGTAAATTCCGTTGACGTTTTCAACACTGCGTTGAAAATATTTTTCTCTGTGTGTGTGTGTGTGTGTGTGTGTGTCTGTCTGTTTCATTTTTAATTCATATAATATATTTTTAAGATACAACCGTGTTAAAATTTTAAACTACGATAATTTTATAGTCAACATTTTGTTTTTTTTATTTCTAATCTCATTCGATACGAAAGAACAAAGAACAAAGTAAAAGAGAGAGAATTAATAGGAAAAAAGGTCACATTTACAAAAGCATAAAACGAAGAGTCAGCAACAGCAACAGCAGCAGCACGTTTTCTCGAGTAGTTTGGCCACGTCATCTTCGAGGAATGCGTCTTCTAGAGAAGGTCCGTCTTTCCGGTCGTTACGGGCAAGAAAACGAGACGGTGAACGAGACAAACGGGCAAACAGAAAGAGAGAAAGAGAAAGAGAGAGAGAGAGAGAGAGAGAGAGAGAGAGAGAGAGAGAGAGAGAAGATTGGAAGGGAAAAGCAAAGGGAATTCTTCTCGTGACTGGCAAATATAGGACGAATCGAAGTAAATCATTCTCCTCTCTCTCTAGTGTTCATTCGATAATTATTATTATTATTTATTATTATTATTATTATTATTATTATATATTTCGTTCACATTCAAATGTATTCCTTTTTTTTCTTTTCTTTTGTTTTTTGCTTAATCGAGAAATTTTGCACGTCGTTTTATTTTCTCGTTGGAGAACGTAAGATAAAATCACAAAATTTTTTGGGACATCGGGGGGGGGGAAAAGAATTTGCGTGCGAGTAAAGTGTACACGGAGAAAATCAATTTGTGCTGTCGGAAGAGGATGGAAAAGGACATGAGGCAAGGGGGAAAGGGGAAGAAGGGGGGAGGGTGACGTAGAAAGAATATTGCAATTTAAATTCGTTATTGAATAATTTGTTCGAAGGATAGATGTGTCATCTGTTACGCGAACGAACTGTTGCGGTGATTGGCTTTTGTCGTTATACTTTGTGCCAATATCAATAACTTTTTATTTCCCCCCTCCCGCCCCCTTTCCCCCGCATTAATTACATCGATATAACCGTAAACGCTGAAAAACGCGTTATTTAGTTATTTTTCTTTATTATTATTATTATTGATTTTAAAATTGCAATTATTCTTTTTTCGTTGCGTAAGTTCGTTTGCAAAATATTATTGCATATTACGAGTTGATGAAAATTGTTTAATATATTATATCGACGATATGAGACAGGAATGAATGAGAGAATACTTCGTGTGACTCATTGTGCGTGAGAGAAAAACAAGAAAAAAGATATAAATAAATAATATGATATGGAGTAACGGTTATAAATATACATCATTTAATTTATAATTACATTTTTTTTCCACTGTATATAATATACATATATATATATATATATATTTCATCGCGTAATAATACGTATGCACACATTTAATAAGCGTAAGGAATTCTTTTTACCGAAGAAACGAACACACCCGATGTTGCCTAACCGAAAGTTTACGATCAAACCGTGAGATCTCGATTCTTATATAGTTTTTTTTTTTTTTTTTTTTTTTTTTCTTCTTTTTCTTCTTCCCCCCCCCCCCCTACTGTAATAATCGTCATCTCGTTTTTTAACATAGAGACGCGTGTACTTTATCGTTCGGTGTTATCACCCTAACCGACCGTATACTTACGAAGAACTTACTCTCGAAATTAGTTATGGTGTATTTCTGGTTAGTAGTTTAAAGGAAGAACAACTCGTTCGTTTAAACTTGCTTACCGAGAAACTAAGGAGAAAGAAAGAAAAAAAAAGAAGAGAAAAAAAACAAGACTATTTCTCAAAGACATTTCACACGCTTTAACAAAGATCAAAGACAACCGCTGGCCACTGTATTTGGTTTAAAATGTATTACTTGAACAAAAAAAAAAGAAGAAAAAAGTATTCTCAACTAATAACGTTTCTTCAATTCTCGAATAAACAACAACTCTTTGAAACTTATTCGATAGACTCGTAGTAATGAAACGTAATTTGTTGGTTTCTTTTTTTGTTTTTTTTTTAATTAAGAAACAAAATATTTGGATAAATAAAGAATATCAATTTTCAAGATGACAAGAGTACCATTGAGAAATATAATCGTTTTATTTTTCACATCATATCTCGAGAAAACCAATTTTCTTTTTATCAATTATATCAAATCACATTTTTTCTAACGATAAAATATATATTCTTTAGTAATATATAATTTAAATTAATTTGATATATTTTAATAATCCAATATAAAATAGATTACTGCGTACAAGAATTTTGTAATATCATATTACGAGGAAATATCAATTATTTTAAATTAATAGTAAGAATTGGGGTACGGATATACCCTCAATATACGTTTGCCAATTTAATATCATTATGATTTTTCTTCGAAATATATTCATCATTATTGTTTCTAATCGTATCAACACTAATATCCATAAAACAAAAATTCATAAAAATCCTTTTCGCAATAAGATGATAATATCACGAAGTAGTTTATGTTAGAAATATATTTGTAGCTCGTTAATTACGTAACTGTCAAAAATGTTGTGACGAAGGATAGCAGACGTTTTATTGTTCACGTTTTTAAAATAAACTCCGAGAAAAATGTTGCTCCGACAGAGATCATTGCCCTCAGGTTTCTTCATTCCTTGCCTTGCATTCAAGTCCGGTCCAGTTCCAGTTTTCAAGATAAAAAACGAATAGATATATATATTTGTATTTTATATTTATATTATTTATATATCGTGTAAACAAAATGATCTAATGGAATTTACGATGTAGTAATAAATCGTATTCCACCTAGCGGCGTTGGTTTCGAAATTCTATATAAAAAAAAAAAAAGAATATTTTTTTACGATGAATGAATTATTACGACGACAAACAACAATAATAATAATAATAATAATAATAATAATAATAATAATAATAATAAAAGATTAAAAATAATTGATAGAGATTAAAAATAATTGATAGGTTTGATTCGAAGTTTTAACGATAGAGGAAAAAGAAAAAGGGAATCAAAATTTAACGAACGTTTAAAAAATAAAAAAAGGATGATCGTAATCTTTAGAAATGCGACACGTTAAAAAGTATTTCTCTCTCTCTTTCTCTTTCTCTCTCTTTCTCTCTCTCTCTGTTAATGTGTAGGCTCTTCGCATTCGATGGAACGTGAAGGGGGATGTAACGGATCATCGAGATTGCAAACGGTACTTTATTCTTAGCTGGAGCACTTGCTGCAGCTCGTGCATGATAATGCGACGTTACTAACCGTGCGATTTTCTGTCCTTGACAACTGTTAAAAAAGTAACGCACACGTACGTACGAAACGTAAAAGAAAAAGAAAAAGAAAAAGAAGAAGAAGAAAATAATTTTTTATCTTTTTTCTTTTTTTTTTTTTCCAATATAAAAGCAAAAAGAAAAGAAATTTATTGCTATCTTTGTGTTATTAATTCGATGTGCAGTTTAAATCGTTTAAAATTGAAATATATATAATATTAAATCGATAAGAAACAAGTTTTTTTCGATCATCAACGAGAGGTGTTTGAGAACAATAAAAAAAGAAGAAGAGAAACAATTAAATTTATTTAAATAAATAGAAGAGATAAAAAAAAATACAAAAAAAATACAAAATAAATAAAAAAAAAAACGAGAGAGAGAGAAAGAGAGAATATATACATGTTTGGGAATACAATCTTCCTATCTGTCGTCGAGTGAATTTTTATCAAAATTGGCATGTGTATATGTGTGTGTGTGTGTGTATCGATAACAAGAAATTCTTCATGGATTCCGAGAACGAGCTGCGTCGTCGTATTTCGCGTGACTTGTATTTCCGGATATATAGCGGAACGTGACATAATTCTAGTAGTCATAGAAACCGACCTTCGCATGAATCTATCTCTCTCTCTCTCTCTCTCTCTCTCTCTCTCTCTAACATATACACACACACCCTTATTTATCGATTCTACGTCATTGCTTGCTTCCTTCCTTGCTATGTACGAATGTAATCGAGGAAGAAATGATTAAAAAGTTCATTAATTTGTAATCCGATCTAATTATTATATTATTATTTATCTTACACGCATAAAGCCTAATAGAAACTTTCCTTAAAATCGGATATCATGCTTTTTGACGAATAATTTTGCTTTTTTTTTTTGTTGTTGTTGTTGTTTGTTCGTCGAGAAAGTTGCTTTCTCGCAAAAAGTACAGTTTATCGTAAATTTTACGTAACTTTTTACCCCAACGAACAAAATTGATATAATATAATATATTTTTCCATGATATAATTTTTATTCGTTACGATAAAAATATGTTTCTGAAGATTCGTGATAAATAAATGTGTTACAAGTTTTACTAGATTGTAAAAAAAGTTGAAACGTTATTTGACTTTATTTGATGATAATATCTTAAGTTGAAAATTCTTCTTGTACGTTTCTCAAACGAGAAAATCTGTGTACTCGGAGTATCGTTCGTCAATGGGAAGAGAGTTTTGATCCGGCAAGCAGGTCGGAGGAATAAAAGCGAGAACCGGAAGTGAGGCAATTACTCAGTCGAGCGAACAACTCAGGTCAATTGTCCTGATTACATTCACGGTGACTGCTGTCGACAGGGAAACGTAGACGCGAGACGTTCCGTTTAGAAACTAATAGTTTCAACTAACGTTTCTTTTATTTTATTCTGTTTCCTCTTTATTTTCTTTTACTTCTTCTTCTTTTTCTAATCATTTCCCATTTATTTTTTTTTATTTTCCATTTTTCATTATCCTAAATATCATTTTACCGTTTAAATAAGATAAACGAGAAGAAAATGCATTGAAAGATAAAAATAATTTCTACCTTGTTTAATATATATATTCGTATTAGAAAGCTTTGAACGAAAAATATTTTGTGTATGAGTTAAACAAAAAAAAAAAAAACAAGAATTGAACGTAAGATAGACGAGAATTTTTGTAAAGTTTTAAAGAAAATTTGTTGTTCCTTTGCGTATTACGTTCACACGAAAGGAAGCTCTAGAACAACATCACTCTTTTCTGGCGAAAGGAAAGGAAATATTTGCCGAGGTCAGCGTTCTTAGTAGCAAGCACGTAACTGAGAACCGCAAAGATCGATTCCGACGTGACAATGTTTCCATTTCTAAACGATTCCTCTATTACACGATACTTTGTTATATTAATGTATTCTTATAGCGGTTTGCATCGAATAAATATTATTTCGTTATTGTAAAATTTCTTTCTCGAATCTGTTTTTTTTTTCTTCTTCTTTTGTTTTTTAATTTAATATCGATACACGACGAGGACGATATTTACCTGAAAGAAAAAAAACAACAACAACAAAAAATTGGATTAAATTTTTAAACCGGTGAGAGGAGTGGGGTGGGATGGGGGGGGTGGACTGAAATTTTGTTTATTCGAGTTGGAAAACATATTTTTAAGCTACATGGCGAAACATTGATCGTTGCTTACAGACACACAATGTATATAGGTATATAAAGAAAGAGAGAGAGAGAGACAGAGAGAGAAAGAGAGAGATGTTAAAATGTTGAAAGAGAAAAAGAGAGTTAGAGTAAAAGCATCGTATTCAATGTAAGTATGTGTGAGAGAGAGAGAGAGAACGTCGAAATAGGAGTGCCGATAAATTGAAATCCGCATCGCGTGCCGTTGAAACACAGTACCTGCAGTAGCTAGCAGCAAGCGCATCTTCTTCTTTCTATTCCTTTTATTCTTTTCCCCCTTTCGATAAATATGTTTTCACGGATTGGCCCGTATAACGTTATTCTTTCAAGTTAAAACTATCCTTTCAGATCGCATGAATCTAAAGAGAATCCGATACCATTTTATTTTATTGCCAAGAAGGTGGATTCTCTTACTTCCCTTACTGCCCCATTTTGTCGGTTTTATCTTATATACGAATGAAATATATTTATTATTATTATTATTATATA